CACCTGAGAAGTTTAGGATTTACAGGTGGCGGGGTTTAGGGGTTTAGTGTTTTGTCCATCAGTCAGTCAATCTTCGCCCGCCACCCCGGCCCGGCCCACTCGGTCATCCCGGCTCTGTCCCTCCCACTGCTTCTTCTAGGTTCTAGGCCCAAATTTCGCGGCTCCAACAAGAGTGTGTGAATTCATCACAAGCAGAAAGCTCAATAATCGTGATGGGGCAATGCAAATTCAGGGTAGATACAAATCGTTATTCTTATCCTGTGATGTAGATCGACCCTACATTGTACCCTACATGACGAGTTACATGCCATATGTGCACAGCGGGGAGGTTCCGATGTATGGCAAACAAATCTAAAACGCAAGGCCTGCTTGAAATTATCCCCCCGAGCCCCAAGGCCCAAACAAAAGAAAAACAACCAAGACCAACAACCAACAAAGTTATAATTTTTTTTCCGACCAAACCCCCCCGACCCGTGAAATTTAGCACACCCACAGGCTTCATTGTAGTTCCTTTCTGGGATTACCTTATAGGGTTCTATATATGAGCCCCAACAAGGTCATCCCCAAAATGAACTACTATGGAGCCTCTAGAACTGCAGCTAGGACCATGGCCTCCATGAGTCGTTTTCAGGGCTGAGATGCTGGCAGATCCAGCTGCCTGAAGATGCCATGCCACTACTGTCTGGTGCTTAGTAGGGAATGGGGGAATGGATCCCTATAGAACCAGACAGACTAAGAGCTGATCTTCGACGGAGTTTCACGAAAAGCATCTCCGTCGGGCCTATAGAGCTCGCTTTTTGTTTTAGCACCGGCGGTGTAGAGGTGATGCCGGTGGCTTCTGGGCTACGCGTCGTGGCTTGAGGACCCTGGGCCCCTAAACCCTAAACCCCTACAGGGCAACCTGCGCGGCCATTGAGATGCTGCCATGGTGCCTGTAGAGCACACCTCATAGCCATAGCTTCACGCTGCTTCGTATCCTCTTCGTCAAGTAAGGCAACGATAGCTCTTTCAACGCAGGCTGGAGTTGCGCAAGCTTCAACATCTGCTGACGCACCCTGACTTTGTCAGCTCCGAAACGCGTGAGATGGCGAAGCCTATCCTTACGGCGAAGCCTCTCCCTCGATGAACATCGGTCGTTGCAGGTGACAAGGGGGCACGGCAAGGCGTTGCCGTTCCTTTTTCAGAGGTCCGCAACTTCCCAACCAAATCTTGGCCGAGATGAAGGAGTGTCACACATCTCCAACCTGCTGCCGAAGGCCAATCTGATTTGGCATCTATAGCCTCAGATGTTGCTGCAATTAGCTCGATTGCTGCATCCTGCGAATGCTGAAAAAGGGGTATTTACGTCTCTGCGAGCAGGAAATGTTACCCAATCGTTGCTTCATTGTTCTTATGAATCATTACGTGTATCCTCGCCATACCAGGTAAGCTGGTAAGCTGCAGACGGAGGCCCACGCCAGCACTGCCTCTTGCAAGCAGCTCTTAGTGGCACAACTCAATGCACATGTTGCTTGGACGGCTCAAGACAAGCCTTGCGAATCCTTCGTTGGAACATCTGTTGCGCCAGCCATGTCCGAAGCAGAAGCAGATCTTCACCTTCTTAACTTGTGCTGGTTCCCAAGCTGCATCTGGGGCCATGAGCTGTCAGCAGGCTAGCACAGGTCACGAGATGCTTCTGCACAGGTCCATGATCAGCTCTCTCAACATGGGGGAAAACGACGATGATGATGACGGGTGAGGCACATCGTGGTGTGCTTCCTTGCACAACAGTGGTTCCCAAGCCCGCGTGGTTGGCTGTCCTGCTAGCAGATTGAATCAGCACCACATGAGCAAGTTGCACTGAGGGCTCACTAGCGCGGTTCCAATGCTATGCGACACTTAGACCATAGGATAGATTGGTGTACCTTGATGTGGGTCTTACATATTTATTGAAGTTTCGGTTGCATCAAACCACTAGAACCTGCTCAGCACAAGCTTAAAGCCGAAACCTGCAAGCCCGAATCCCTGCTAAACCTACAACCCCAAACCTGAAACGACAAAGCCTAGTACTGTCATTTAACATGGCTTGCCAGAACGCTCAGGAGAGGAAGATGGGTTCTAAGGACGCTGAGCTAGAGAGAAGAAGCATGAAGAAGCTGTGTTCCAGTAGTGGTTTCTAGTTAATTTTTTTATTCAGTAGAGTAAAGAAATAGTCCAGGTAATCGTCCAGTAAAGCCCAGCATAACATAGTAAAGTGAAGTCCAGTGCCACGGCACTACATTGGTCTGCCCTACAGTTTAGTATCCCACATCAATGCCGCTACTCAAAAGGCAGGATATTCATCCCCCGAACGGTAAGCTGCGGGATGTCGGACCATGTCAGGATGGTTGTGATGGACATGACGGTCCAGAATACAACGAGAGCCATGATGGACTGCGTTTAGTTCTGATGCAGGCTTCCCCTAAACCCTAAACCCTTAAACCAAACCCCTAAAGTCCTAAACCCCTAAGCACGCAGCCTATACCTTACCTCAACCTTGAAAACCCGAAACCGCCGAAACCGCCTAAACCCTAAACCCTAGAAACCCCTTAACCCCCAACCCCGAAAGCTCTAAATACAAATGGGTCCTAAAACCTTGTCTTAATTATTAAGGCCCTATATTATAGTACCATCATCGATCCCTTACAGTATATAGCCCTTAATTATAGACCCCTTTAAAAGGAACCCTATTCTAAACATTAAGGCCCCTATAGCAAACCGTTTCCTGCCCTCGGGTGCCAGGACCGCCAGCCGACCCACAGGATCTGGCGACCACAGAAGCTGCAGGCCGCCGCAGCGGGCCAAAAGGGATCCTATAAGGGATCCATAGGGGTTTATAGGGTTCATGGGGTGTCTTTAAGGGATGCCATAAGGGATCTTTAAGGGTTTAGGGTTTTAGGGTTTAGGGGTTCAGGGCTTTGGGTTTAGGGTCGCAGGGTTTATGGTTGGGTAGAGTATAGTACATTATACTAAACATAGTAAAGTATAGTATGTAATAGTAAGGAGTAGTATATGATTGTATAGGGTATGTTACGGCAAGGTCTAGTCTATCATGTTATAGTACAGTATATGATAGTATACAGTAACATAGTATATTCTGCTTGTGTTCTCATGACTCTGGAGAGCAAAGGTTTCCTTTGACGGATGTTTCGGCAGGACTCCACGGGGTCGAGTGGGTCGCTCCTTCCAATTCCAAGTCTCAAGTGTTTCGTCTGCGACTGCACATCAGCAGACTCCAAAATGTCAGACAGCACATGTGACCTATGTGTCACAGATGTGAGAAGGGATTTCCAGGAGCATATGCGAGGCAAGAAAGATTGTAGTAGCAGTCGTGTTCGTCGTTGTCGGCGTCGTCATGGTAATCGTGGTGGGGCATTGCGGTCGTCGCGGTCGCGTCGTGTCGTTTTCGTGATGGTGGTCGTCGTTGTCCTCGTCGTCGTGGTCGTGGTCGTGATTGCAGTCGTTCCCTCCGTTTCTCCTGCAGCAGTCGAAGCCTCAGTGTCATGCGGACAGAACAACGCGGCAACAACTAATCGGAAACACGGAGGACAGTGTCAAGACACAACCTCGCAGAAGCTACAAGCATTGAGCAAAACAGAGCTGGAACAACTTCTGGCAAGACCGATTGCCTGTAGTCACTGTAGTCTCAGCTTGCCGCAGATTCGACCGCACCAGACCACTGGACCCCAAACTAAACTGGGGGTTTCCAAAAACAGGGGACCCCAACATAGTACTGTACCCTAAATAGTAGGATCCTTATTGTAAGGACCCCCAAATAAGGTACCCCTAATTTTTCGGAAACTCCCCATTCTGAATCCCTAAACCCCAAACCCTCAAGCAAATGATGAATAGGACTTGTATGTCTGTACTATTTACTTAGTGTTTCCAAACCAAAGCAATTAGAGCAACAACGCCCAGCACCTCAATGTACCCAACCTTTCCAGGGTCCATCATATCAATGTACTTGAACCCTTAAAATGCAATAGAAATTTGTGCGTCTTAGCACAAATGCCGGCAAGAAATCTTGCATCTTAGCACGAGGACCGCACTTCGGCCCCAAAACGCCGGCAGAAAATCGTACATCTTAGCACTGGGACCCGCTTCCTTCCGAGCCCAAGACACCGGCAACTAATCGTATATCTTAGCATCCGAACCCCACTTCGAGCCCAAGACGCAAGCAACAAATCGTACATCTTGGCACCGGGACCCCACATCGAGCCGCGGTTCGGGTTTTCGGCTTGCGGCCCTCACCACAGAAATGTGGCTCATTTGTATTCCTCGTTGAGGTTCGACAAACATATGCGTAACAAAGTGGCGGGTCGGATTTTCAACTCTCCAAGTCTTGTAACCACAGCATATGTTGTGAGATCAACGATCAGAGGGGGTACGATTTGGTACGGACGTCGCGGTGTGTGTGTGTGTGTGTGTGTGTGTGTTCTTAGATCTCACATCACACGGGGTAAGATTTGTTGCGGGCATCGGCGCGTCCTAGCATTTAGCACCGGGACCCCGCTTTGATCCCAAAACACCGGCAACAAACCATACAACTCAGCACTGGGACCGCACTTCGAGCCCGAGACACCGGCAACAAATCGTACATCTGACGCCAAGCAACCGGCAACAAATCGTACATCATAGCACTGCGCCCCCACTTCGAGCCCAAGACACAGGCAACACATCGCACATCTGACGCCAAGATGCCACCAACAAACCGTACATCATGGCACTGCGCCCCCCCTTCAGGCCCGAGGTACAACTCGTACATCTTAGCACCGGGCCCCCACTTCGAGCCCGACACTGAAGCAACAAATCGTACATCTTAGCAGCGCTGCCCTGCCCCGCCTTCCCACCGGCGCGGTTTTGCGCTTCAGCAGTCGTGTGAGACACGAGTTCGTTTTTGTTGAAAGGAACCTTATTATAACTTCTGGATGTTAGGGCTAGGCCTCGTAGCCTTAGTGCGGCCGGGCAGGCCCCGGCAGCGGATGAAGGGCAGAGCGGGATTGAAGAGGCTGGACGAATCCGGCCGCGGCTTCGAGTTAAGAGGGGCGCAAAGGTATCCCGGCTGGGCCCGGATCTGAAGTTACTAGAGCTCTGGTGTCTAGTGTTTCAGTGTACTGGCCAGCCGGGTGTAGTAAGCCGAAGTCTTGCAGATTCTGGGTTCTTCTCACGTCTGAAGAACTTTCAGACCCCGAAAACCGAAAACGTGCCAATGGTTTCTGGGGTCTGGGTGTCAAGGCTGGTCTGTGGACCTTCATGGATGGTGAGAGATGCAGGAGTTCGTGGATTCGGATGACGTCAAAGTATTGCGACCGAACCTAAACCTTAAGCCCTAAACCCAAAAGCCTAAGTTGTGGAGCAGCTTTGGTTGGATGGGCCGCTCCCTGTTGTTTTCAATTTTCCTTGCCAGGCAGACCCCAAGCCCGCCACCACCAGGACCGGTGCTGGGGAGATACTATCATAGGGGTGGTTGTCAAAATTATGGTCAGCCCTTTTCGTGTCCCCTATATACTACGGCACCTAATATTTAGGGTGCCCAAAAAGGGACCATAACTTTGAAAACCACCCACATACTGTATTATGATATGCTATATATTGAATTTACTTGAGCATACTACACACGATCATATACTCTTTTCTCTGAGATGAGCAGAAGGAGAGTGGTAGCGTGCAACTTGGAGGCTCAGCTTGGTGTACTTGGAGGTTCATGGGTAGTTATAAGTGGGGTTATAAGTCGCCTGATATGGGTTATAAATAGAGTTACCCTACTTACGAACCTCCGAGTAAGGTCGCAAGGACCCCTTGGGGATTTAACTGGAATCGGATGCTTCTCAAGCAGCTATAAGACGGATGAAACAAAGGTTTCCGATGCTATGCAGAGATCAACGACCGACACATCGGAGGATCGAAAGCCAAGTAGCAGGGGTATCCTTGAGGGAGGGGGTCCAAGAGGGGTAAAAAGCCTAGTGATCCCTAATTCTCCCTAGTACTCCCTAAGGTTCCCTTACAGTCCCCTAAGGATTCCTTGTACCCTCCCCCCTTGAACCACCCTCCCTTAAGGATCCTATAAAGTAGCAGGGGTATCAGCGAGTTTGGTTGCATCGGACTCGGATTCCGGCCTCTCAGCGGAGTTTTTGATACGTTTAAGCAGAAGCGGTCCGACCCGAGACTCTCGCCGGAGCACCGTAGCACCCTGAACCCTAAACCCTTATAAACCCTAAATCCTAAATCCCTAAAGCCCTAAGCCCGCAAACCCCTCAACCCTAAACCACAAAACCCTGTGGTGCCAGGACACGGGCCGAATCTCCGTGGTCGCGGAGGTTTCTCTGCTTGCCAGTGCCGAAGCAGGCCGCCGCAGCAGTATATGGGAGTTTCCGAAAATTAGGGGGGTACCTCATTTTGGGGTCCTTATGATAAGGATTCTACCATTTGGGGTACTATATCAGAGTCCCCTATTTGCGGAAACTCCGATGTTGGTATACGGGAGGAGTCCATTAGTATAGTAAAGTATAGTATATGTTAGTACAGTATAATAAATCACGGCAAAGTATTGTATGTTGGTATATAGTAAGGTAACTATCCTTTATATCAAATCGTCGTAGAGCATTACACTGCTATTGTATAGTATGTTCTCTATGATCGCAGGTAGCTTGCGTTCTCATGCCTCTCGGGAGTAGATCTTTGCGATGTCATAAGGCTCGAGGAATGTCTCGGCAGGCCTCAAATCAAAGGGGTGTCGAGTGTTTCGTTCCGTGGTGTCCGGGTTCAGGGTTTAAGGTTTACGATTGTTTCCGTTTGACCAACAAGTGATTCGTCTGAGACGGCGCATCAGCCTCCGAGATATCGGAGAGGACACGTGTCATGGATGTGAGAACCTGCTGAAGCCGACTGTGGCTTCAGTCGTTGCGGGGTGGTCGAACCGTTGGCAGGTCGCCCTTGCATTCTCCGGGCCTCTCGATGAGATCAGAAGCCCAGGAGGTGTGGATGCACGGGTCTAGCTAACGCAGCCGCCGCTGGAGAGTGATGGAGGGATGGAGGAATGCCAGCAGCATGGACCCTGAAACCCTTACCTGCCAAAGCCTGAAGCCCTTGAGCCAACATCGCCTCGGAGCTTCAGCTCTGCAACGTGGGTTCCCAGAAGAGGTTTGTTTGGGGGGCAATCCTTGCATTGTATGCCACAGTTACAGAGCCTACCCACCCATCTCAAGCCTAAGCTCTATCGGCCGATTCCCAAGGTCGGCAAACACCACGACCGGGCACACAGAGCCTCGAACGCCTCCACGCAAAACCCAAAGTCTTCAAAACTCAAACCTAAACATAATAGGCCCCAAACCCGTAACTTAGGACCTGGGATAATCTGCGAAACCTCAAGGCCTAAAGCCCCCCGCACCTACGAAGCTCAACCCCAGCGAACACCACGAAACCTGAAACGAGGCCGACGTCGGCGGCTGTGGGAACCCGCTGTGCAAGATGCAGGCCGGTTTGGGGGCTATTATATACCCATTATATAGCCCCATTATGGGGTAGGGGTCCCCATTCCCTCCTTCTCCCCTTTGATGGCAGGCTTTCGGGGTCTTGTAGGGTGAAGGGCGGATTTAGGGTTTAGGGTCTTGGGTCTTTGAGTTTATGGGTTTTGGGCTTTCGGGTTTGGGAGTTGTTAGGGTTACGGATTAGGGGTTAGAGGTTCAGTAGGTTGGTCCCAAGGGCTTCATGAGTTGCGGGGTCATCTGTAGCCGCGCTGTCCCTGCAGAATCCTCTCATTCCGCCCTGTTTCGGGTTTAGGGTTTAGGGGTATGCATCTGTCTTCGTTTTGCGTGTGCTTTCTTGTGCCACTGCCACTTCTTTCCAACATGCCGTAAGGAATATGCCTTGAACTACAGTAGGTCCTACTAAGTAGGACCCTTGATATGATATTCAAGGTTAACATTCCTCAACCAAGGCATTTCCCAAGTATATATATATATATATATATTGTAGGAGATGATACTCTATTATATAGTATATTCATGCATATTCATTCATATTCATTAATCAAAAGGATTTTAGAAGATGTTGGCACCTAGGCCTGGGCCTGGTTCTTCCGCTTGGCCGCTCGGCCCCGGAATGCAGTCGTGGCTGGCAGCGAATGCCACCCAAAAGAAGCCGAGGCCACGGACGAGGATCTTTAAGAGTTCATGTATGGGTTCAGGGTTTAAGGGTTTTAGTTACCATAATAGGGAGCGAAAGCGGCTGTGTTGCTTGCTTTGCCCTTGCTGTTTTTTCCTTCCTCTTGTTTTGTGCTTGTCTGCTTCTTTTTGGCACCACCTCACGAAGCTGCGGGTGCTGCGGTGGATCGGCCTACTGATGCTTGAGCTTTACTGCTCAGCCCTGGCCGATGCACGCTGCGCTGATGAAGTTGGGGATTCCTGGGCGTAGTAGCAGTTGTGCACGTCGTCGTCGCCGTGGTCAGGTAATTTCAGTGCGGTCGTCGTGGTCGCGTGGTCGTAGTCCTCGTCGTCGAGGTCGTGTTCGTGATCGCAGTCGTTCATCAACAAGCAGTCGGAAACATTGAAGACACTGTCAAGACACAATCCCAAAGAAGCCCTAAGCAATCAGCTAAGTTGAACAAATTCTGGTATCTCTGCGACTGTGGTTTCGGCTTGCCACAGATTCGACCGATCCGGAACAGCTCAACCCTAAACCCTAAACCCCCCAAGCCCTAAACCCTAAACCCCTAAACCCCTAATCCCCACGACCCTATAACACTTGGAAACCCAAGTCTGGACCGGCCCCATCTGCTGTTTTTCGCCGTGCATCGCCGGAGTAGGATTGGGGCACCTCCTAACTAACTACTACCATTTAGGGTTTTAGGGTGCCATATTAGTTTAGAGTCCCAAATGCGACATATACAAGCCACTTACCATCCCCTATACCACGGTTGAGGGTTTGGGGTTTATGAGCCCGCGCCAGAGGCTCGCAAATATACTACCATTATTATTATGGAAGTAGGTCCCGAAAACCAGAATAAGACTGGTCTTTCGAGACCTTATACCATACTGGTTGTATATGTGGAGCTTCTTGGTTAGTCAAAGCTGAGAAGTATAGTCTCCATTGTAGTTCCGTTTTCGGGTTACCTTATAGGCGCCTAAATATGAGATTGGTTAAACCCAACAAAGGAAGTACAATGGATACATATGGAGACTATAGCATAGGTATACTATACCTACGTAATGATACTGTAACCTAAACTATCCTTATTGCTACAAGATACTTATAATGTAACATTTTTTGTACTATCATATACTACCATGTACTGTCATATACTATAATGATACTGGCAGGCACCCCACTCCAGCACTGCTCCCATCGGAGAAGACGCAGAGCTAGGGCCGGGACCAAGAGGGCTGAAGTCGCAGCAGGCTGGGTTCTTGTTAAGGGATTGTTTAGGGTTGAAGGTTCAGGGTTTAGGGTTGAGGTTCTAGGGTTTAGGATTTAGGGAGGGTTCTTGCTAAGGTTTTCAGTGTAAGTTACCATACTACGTAGGGATGTACAAATATAGAGGGCTCCTTCAAAGGATCTATAAGGGTTCCTTCAAGGACTTAGGGTTCAAGGGTTCAGATACGTACCATAATCGGGATCTATAGTAAAGAATATCGCTTCCTTACTGTGGTAACTTAAACAACATGCCTTGACAAGAACCCCTCCTAAACCCTAGACCCTAAACCTTAAACTCGATACCTTAAACCCAAGACCCTAACCCTAAACCCCCTAACGCCTCAACCCTAAACTAACCAACCCCTTAACAGTAAGCCAGCAGGCGCCTTCCCGGTCGGAGGCCTGCGCGACATCGGCACACCGAGGAGGACTTCGAGACAGCGGCGGCTCTAGGGTTTTAGGGGCTTTGGGGTTTTTTCGGGTTCCTTTAAAGGGATCCTACAAGGGATCTACAAGGGATCTACAAGGGTTTTAGGGTTTAGGGGTTCTGGGGTTTAGGGCTTTGGGGTGAGGGTTTAGGGTTCAGGGGCTTAGGGGCTCTAGGGTTCGGGGGGTTTAGGGCTTTGGGGTTTAGGGTTCGAGTTTAGGGGGTTTGAGGCTTTAGGGTTCTGGGGTTTTGGGCTTTAGGGCTTTAGGGGTTTAGGGTTTAGGGGTAAAGGCTTTGCGGTTCTGGGGTGTAGAGCTTAGGGTTACGTTTTTTTTGATTAGGGTTTAGGGTTTAAGACTCCTCGGGTGACAGTTTGGCTTTGGACTTGGTGTTAGTTGGGCTATTGAGGCTCTCGGTCTCAGCGAGCTCTATCTGGGAGTTTCCGAAAATAGGGGACCCTAATATAGTACCCTAAATAGTAGGATCCTTTTATAAGGACCCCAAATAAAGTACCCCTCATTTTCGGAAACTCCCATCTAAGTTGCGTCCGAACTGTAGCAGGCCCCGGAGGTGCAGCCGGGCTTTCGCAGGGCCTTGTCGATATGAAGAAGCCTAAACTCAGTAGTTCGGTCACATATTCGGACGACCTGTAGGGTTTGGGGTCTAAATGATTTCCGATATTATTTTGGAGAGTTCCTTATGAGAATTATCGTACAAGATATACTAGGTTCTAGTGCCAGAGACTGGTTCAAGCGACCTCTCCAGGAGCCTTTTTCGTCATCGGCTCAGGCGACATGCGGTGACCGGGTAGAAAAGAAGCGTGACAGCTGAGCTGCTCTGCAGGGGCACCCTTGGCATACCTGCACTTCTCAACAATTACTGAGGTCGGCAGCCTTTTCGTGATAGCAACGAAGTTGGAGCGTAGCTCCGTCCACAGCGGACGGGGTCTCGTCCCTTTAATTTTTGTCGCAAACGATGGCGATGTTCGCAGTGACGGCCCGACTCCTCGCGATGATGTGGGCCGGCTGCGTGTGTTTTAAGCTGTCGGAGCCGCCTTTGGGTCAGGGCAGCGCGGCGAAGGAGGCGGCCTCCGGATATGTGGAGGGCGCCGAAGATGCTCAGGGAGATGGCGTGGGCCTTGGGAAGAACCTCAAGTTTCTCCTTGTGAAGGTCGCGCAGCTCGAGGCCCTGGCGGAAATGCAGCAAGCCGAGATTGCAAGTCATCGCTTGGAGATCGCGTCCTTGAAGAAAGAGCAGGGCAAGGGCTTGGAGGTAGACCCTGCCAAGCACTTGGGAATCTTGCTGGAGGAGATGCAGACCACGGGCGAAGGTTCCAAGACCAGGCTGGACGAGGCCACCGACGTCCTGAAGAAGGTCTGGGGCAAGCAAGAGTACCAGCGCCGCACCGGAGCCCATAGCCGCAACTTGAGTTTGGGGGAAAGACTATATGAATGCTGTAGACAGCCCTCCTCATAAAATCCCTTCTTTGTTATGCAGCGCAGGAAAGTTCCACGAGGGCTCCTTCCCTCACGGCTGGAAGCAAGGAGTGGAGAGCAATGAGACTGCAGGCCTCGCAGCCAAGGAGAAGAGACGGTTCGGCCCGGTCGGAGATGTAGTTAAGGAGGGGACGAAAGTCTTCTCCGGCGAGACTCCAGACGTTCCAGACTTTGCCACAGATCCGGTGGGGACGATCAAGAAAGGATATGAGGAAGCCAAGACGTTGGATGAGAAGGCCGGTGGGATCCCCGAACAGCGGTAGGCCGGTTCAGTAGCTCTCGGCGTTTGAAACTGCCGGCGTATAGCTTTGCTTGTTAAACCCAAAGCTCCTTCCATTTTCTCGGGCCCAACCCTAACCTACAGCCTATAAACCCAAAACTCCAATTACCCTACACCCTAAACCTGAAACCCTCAGGTGGCTTATGCGAAGAAGATGCTGACGACGCACCCGATCGACACCGTGGAGACGGCCACGGAGCTCCTGCAGGGAGTCCTCAGTCAATCCGGCTTTCAGGACGTTTGGGTGAAGCTTCACAGACCGACTCTGCCGAGCCATGTGAGTGGGAGGCTCTACCTCGGCAAAGTTAAGGTTGAAATCAAGTTGATCAGTGAAATAAAAACCGCCGAGCTCGACTTGGGAAGCATTGATCTGCCGAGTCAGCTGAAAGAAGTTGTCGGCAAGCCCCTTTGGCAGATTCAGGGGGCGCTCAGCCTGGGACAGGATCTCAGCGGTTGCAGCAACTGGCACCTACCTGGTAACGCAGTGAAGTGCTTCGGTGACAAGATCATCGACCAGGCGGCCCCGCTCAAGGAAGTTGTCGGCAAACCCCTTATGCACATTCAGGGGGCGCTCAGCCTGGGTCGGGATCTTCTTGGTTGCAGCAACTGGCACCTGCTTGGTAACGCCGTGAAGTGCTTCGGTGACAAGATCATCGACCAGGCGGCCCCGCTCAAGGAAGTTGTCGGCAAACCCCTTACGCACATTCAGGGGGCGCTCAGCCTGGGTCAGAATCTCCTTGGTTGCAGCAACTGGGACGTGCCTGGTAACGCCGTGAAGTGCTTCGCTGACAAGATCATCAACCAGGTACCAGAGCTGAGCGCAACGGCTGGCGGCGCCGTCGCGGCAGTTCAGAAGATGATAACGGTGGGCAAGGAGCTGACGTCCTGCTCAGAGCAGTCGGGGAGTGGAATTGTGGAGTGCCTCGGCACCAAAATCATCCAACACACCCCTCCCTTCAGCTTCCTGAACCAGATGGGAGACATCCTGTCCGAGTTCTTCGAGGCGCATTCAGGGTTTGGCTGTTGGGGCTTGCAGGCAGGACTGCCAAAGTCATGCGGCAGAGACAGACCGTTTAGCTTTGAAGGTGCCCTGGCAAGTCCCCAGTCCCAAATTCCTCGACAGCTTTGTTTGCCTGCGAGGGCTTCGCGAAAGTGGCGGGCACTGTGGCCAGGCAGGTGCTGAAGGGCAGCAGCTCACTGATCCAGGAGGCGGCCCTCTCCAAGTTCCCGGCCACCGGAGCCCCCGCAACGGTGCACCACTCTGGCCAAAGCCTCCTTATCACGAAGCACACCCAAAAGCGCCAAAAGGGGAAGCTCTCGATGCAGATGGAGGGGGACGACCCGCCGGAGGATGGCATCGCTTTCAGTTTGCACGATGAGGGCTCCAACTACCAGTCCAAGCTGATCACCCAGCTTCTCTGCGTCACCTTTCGGGAGCCTCTTTGTTTCTAAACCCCCTAAACCCCGTAGCACCCTTATATAGATCCCTTATAGGAAACCTAATATAATTCCTTTTAAATGAGCCTGACAGATCCCTTATAGGAAACCTTATATAATTCCTTTAAAGGAACCTTCTAGGGCCCCACTAAACTTCAGCCCTCCCGCGCCTCAAGGTTCCATGGCTGTAGTAGTCGTAGAAGAAGCAGCAGAACCCTAAACCCTAAACCTGAAACTCTAAACCCTAAACCCTAAACCCTATCAAGGTTCCATGGCTACGAGAGGGACACAAGCTCCTGCCTGGCCTTTGCCCCAAAAAGCCGGCAGCAAACAGACACTGGGCTCTTGAAGTTTAGGGGTTAGGGTTCTTGAAGTTTAGGGTTTAGGGCTCTTGAAGTTTAGGGATTAGGGTTCTTGAAGTTTAGGGTTTAGGGCTCTTGAAGTTTAGGGGTTAGGGTTCTTGAAGTTTAGGGTTTAGGGCTCTTGAAGTTTAGGGATTAGGGTTCTTGAAGTTTAGGGTTTAGGGCTCTTGAAGTTTAGGGATTAGGGTTCTTGAAGTTTAGGGTTTCGGGTTCTTGAAGTTTAGGGTTTCGGGTTCTTGAAGTTTAGGGTTTCGGGTTCTTGAAGTTTAGGGTTTCGGGTTTAGGGTTTAGGGCTAAGCTTACCTTTGGTTAGTAGGGAATGGAAGAATGGTAGTAAGAGCAGTTGTAGTTGTACCCCATTCTTCCATTCCCTACTAACCCAAGGTAGGTAAGGGATTTAATTTAAGTTGCCATGGGATTAGGGGTCCTTTAAGGGATCTATAAGGGCTCCTTCTAAGGGATTGTTTAGGGTTTAAGCTTTAGGGTTTAATGTTGAGGGTTTAGGGTTTAGGGGGGCTTCTTGTTGAGGGATTCAAAATAAGTTGCCATAACAAAGAAACCACATCATTTACTATCGATCCCTATCATGGCAACTTAGATTAAGCCCCTTACAGTAGATGCAAGAAAGTTGGAGCATCATTCTCCTCATGCCCTTAAGGTACCTCCTATAGACCCATGTTCCAACTTTCTGGCTTCTACTATAACAAGAAGAGCCCAGGACAAGGTGGTGGAAGCAGACTGGCAGGTGGGGGGCCAAGCGGAGGTTGAAAGTTGGGGGTCGGCACTTTCCGGCTGTGCGGAGCTAAAGCCCATAAACCCTAAACCCTATAAGCCCTAAGCCCAAAAAGCCCTAAACCCTAAACCCTATAAGCCCCAAACCTATAAGCCCAAAACCGAAGCCAGCTAGGTGAACGACCCGAACGACTTCGTGCAACTGGAGCCTTGGGCCGTGCCCTGCGGCACCGAGTGGATGAAGGAGCAGCAAAGCCTGGGCTCTTGTTAAGGGACTTAAGAGACCATAATAAAGGAACCATGCAGATCGCTATTTAAGGGACTTAAGATACCATCATAAAGGAACCATATAGATCCCTATGTATGGGACTTGAGATCCCATAATAAAGGAACCATATTATTTACTATAGATCCCTATTTGAGGGACTTCAGATACCAAAACAAAGGAACCACATTGTTTACTCTAGATCCCCATTATGGTAGCTTAGGCCTTAAAGCCTTAGAGGAGCCCTTATAGATCCCTTGAAGGAGCACCAGAGCAAATGGCAAGGCGCCGGATTTCAGCCTAGGGGGTTTGAGGGTTTAGGGCTTATGGGGATATGGGGTTTAAAGGGTTTAGGGTGTAGGGCTTGCAGGGCTTCGGGCTTATAGGGCTCGGCAGGCTACTCGTTCTACACTGGAGAGGCAGCCATTGAGGAGTGCATGACTGTGACCTACAGTGTCAACGTGCAGCCGGTTATTGCCTTCGTTGGCGGAGTGCAGATTGACGTGATGCCCCAGCCGCTGGTTTCCGTGGAGACAACTGTCTGCTGACCTGCAGAGCGTCCTGATGGCCAAGATCTGAGCATGCTGCGCATGAGGATCCTCTCCAGTGGCGTGCTGCTCTTCTCCAAGACGCTGCGCCTGGCCAAACGCTACAAGGACCCCATCGACTTTATACCCCACCCCTTTTATTTTACTGCCTACTTTTCTATATGTAAACCCTAAACCCTATAAACCCTAAACTCGAGCACTAGGTACCCTAAAACAGGGTTATACGGTTGATGATATAAATCCTGCATGACCCGTAATGAGGAAGATACCATAATTCCCATAGTCTAGGGCCATTAAGGTAAGGCAGATTTACATCATCAACTTAAACCCTAAAGCCGAAAACCCTATAGATCCCCTAAAGGAACCCCATGAAGGTACCCGTATAGATCCCTTTATAGGAACCCCAGGATTTAAGACCCCCTATAGACCCCTTTAAAGGAGCCCTTTAAGGGAGCCCTATTCTAATTCGCAAGGCCCCTATCTTATAGACCCGGTACTATCGATCCTTTATAGACCCCTTTAATTTGAGGAGCCCTTTAAAGGAACCCAAAGCCTTAAGACTAGGTACCTTAAAAAGGGGTACAGGGTCTGATCCTCTAGGACCCCACGGACTTCATTGACTACGCCGGGCACTTGCAAAGCGCCACAGCGAACTGGGAGCAAGGAACGAGCCCCCAGGTCCTGGGTTTTGTTTAGGGTTTGGGGTTTAGGGTTTAGGGTTTGGTTAGGGTTTATGTAGGGTTTGTTAGGTTTATAATAGGGTTCATAGGGTCCAAAACAGGATTGAAAGAGTTTATAGGGCTTATAGGGTTTATTAGGGTCTATAGAGTCTTATAGGGTCTAGGGAACGAGCCCCCAGGTGGCCATCAGCAGAACCAAGCTGCTGCAGACGGAGGCCCATCAGAACCACAACCAGTCGCACGAGGTTCACAAGGACGTAGGTAGTATTATTAGGGAGACCCCTTAAAGGGTCCTGTTTCTGAACCCTACTTCTGGCTCTCTTAAAAGGGGCCTTATTGAGAGGGTCTATGTCCCCAAGGGTCCCCCTAATCCTAACTCCCAGGACGCCAAAGGCAGGCAGCAGGAAAGATGAGGCAGACCAAGGCGTCTTTGAGTGGATGGAGGATGAGGACGTCTATCTGGCCTCTGCGAACTATTCCCAGGAGCTTGGGGTGAACTTGACCTCTGCACCTGGGCCGGAAATAGATGTCCATTTACCCCATGCCCTTCTATCGTCTTCTCTTGCAGGAGCGCCTTAGCTTACCCTTCCTTGAAACCGCAACGCCCAGGAACTGCGTGGCATGGAGGCCAAACAGCGCCTGAGTTTGGAAGCCACGAAAGCGCAAGGAGCCTCTCGGCATGGCCTGGATGCCCTTGAGCAGTGATCGTGAGACATCCCCAAGGCTCCAGTTAGTAGTCACCTAAATAGTAGGTTACTAACCATATATTATATACCCGAGTAACTTAGGCCAACCGGAGCCCGAGAGCATGCTGGTGTAGCCTTGAATGTATTGAGGGGCGGGTGCATAACAAAAGGTCTTCCAGCTCTTCAGCTTCAAACACGACGGGATGGTGAGCTTCGAGTTCCAGGCTGTTATGAACGGGAACGACTTGGAGATGCGTGCCAAGATGGGCTTCGGAACATTCCAGTCTCCGCTAAAGACGATGAAGCTCGTGGACATCGCACAGCAATTCGAGGTGGTACTGCATGCGCTCCCCTTCATGTCCATTGCCAGCAGGTCCAAGGCCCTTGATGCTTTGAAGGACTTCACGCATCACATGCCGCCGCCGGTCGTCTTGCGGCCCGGAACTACCGTCGCCCTCCACAATATCTTCTTTCAGTCCTACATCAATGCTGATAGCACTGGACAAGTCCGCTCTTGTTGTGCCCACGCCTTCGAGCTGGGCCTCCCCCCAAACAATCAAAACGAGCGCTGGACGGTGGTGGACGCGGGCGAGGGCCAGATCGCGCTCCATCATCCGCGGTACAACGGCTTCCTGCGCCTCAAAGCATCCGGGCTCGATCTCAGGCACGCCGCTCCCAAGGACTTCCAAGCCGGTTCCGGCTGGGAGGCTGAGACCTTCAAGGTGGTGAATCTCGGTGGCGGGACAGGGATCTTCGGCTTGCAGAACCCGGCCACCAAGCGCTTCGTTTCCGTGGGGCCCGGCCACACTTATGTGACCGACCCCTCTGACGTCCTCCACGCCGGTTGGACCCACCAGCAGTTCCGCGTGGAGGTGCTGAAGCCGCGTCTGGCGCCCGGCACCACGGTGGGACTTTGGAGTCCGATGTGGAAGCACTGGCTCCGCCTGAACCACGCGGATATGGACAAGGGTGGGAATGTGATGGCCCACGACAAGCCCAACCTTGCCTATCAAACCGATTGGGAGAAGTTCGAGGTGGTGGATGCCGGTGACGGAGAGGTCGCTTTGTGGAACCCCACTTTCAAGGCCTTCGTGCAGATCGAAAACGGTGATGCCAAAGCCAGTCCCCCCATCTATCCGCGGCAGCTCACCACCATTTGGCCATCGTGCAGGTTCCAAGTCGTGCCCACCGGCGATGGCACGATCGCGTTGCACAACCCGGCAGAAACTCAGTTCCTTGCCATGCGTATGGAGCCGGGTGCCGCAGGCATCCTCACCACCGGCCACACGATCCAGTCGCTGCCAGAGACCGCAACGTCGTGGGAGCGCTTTGTGGTCTACGAATCTTGCTGCTGGTTAGTAGGGAATGGAAGAATGGTAGTAATAGTAGTTATAATTATACCCCATTCCTTCATTCCCTACTAACCAAAGGTAAGTAATAGGATTATTAAGCCCCCTATATTGTAGTACCCTTATAGATCCCTTATAGCAACCCTTACAGACCCCTTTAAGCCCCCCAACAGTAAGGAATTGCCTGGTCCCGCAGCAAATGCTCAGCCCCCGGGATGGAACTTGGAGATGGCGAGGTGAGCTCCGAGTTCGGGAGTCGACCAGGGGGGGGGTTCGGAAAATAGGGGACCCTAACATACTACCCTAAATCATAGGATTCTTAGAACCCTAAATAGTAGGATTCTTAGAACCCGAAAATAAGGTACCCCCTAATCCCACCAAGCGACTGCCTTCGAGACCCTGAGTTGGCTGAGAGCCGTTTCTTTCGCCCGCGGCACTTTAAAAAGCTGTCCTGCCTGTGGCTTATTGCGATTATAAACCCTAAACCCTACACCCTGAATCCTAAAACCCTAAACTAAAACCCCCAAACCAAAAACCCTAAACCATCCTAAACCCATTTGTGACTGTCTTCGGTGAGCGTCCAGCATTGTCCGGCTCGCAGAGTCTCAAGGTGGGGGAGGGGCCGGGGAGCTACTAGTATAAGCAAAGCCCCAAAGCTCTAAAGCCCCAAACCGAAGCCCTAAACCCCGAAACCTTCAAACCCCTAAACCCCTAAACCCCCAAACCCAAAGCCCCTACAGCCCTAGCGAAATCTTGACATCCGCAACATGGTGCAGCCCCTATCCACCAGGCCGGCTGGGGGCGAACAACCATATGCGGGCACACATGTACACCTGCATGCGCATACAGATAATTGAAAAGTCGTATTAATGTGCGAGGCCTATAATACGAATACTGATATTGATACTATAGTAACTATTACAACTATTGATATTAGACTCGATACCACCACGAATACTAACACTAAGGCATGCCGGCGGCAATTGGGAAGCTGAAGTCCCGGCTGAGCCGTGTTTCGGCCCTTAGAACTCGGAGCCTGTGGCACAGGCCCGGGCGGTAGGGGGCCAACCGGCCAAGCAGCGCTTCGCAGCATGAGGGTCTCAGGCTGAAACAGGGCTCTGACCCTTCGATGAATGTGCGCAAGCAAAGCCGGAATGAGGGGCCGGGAAGCAGGACGCCCTCGTCGGGCATACTGTAATTTTCCAGTGCCAATCTAAGGCGTCTTTCCCAGCTGATTGGGTTCAAGCTTTGTGCAATTCGACGCAACGTCTACTAATCACTCGTCCATCGCTTCCATGTCGCTGCGCATCAAGATGTCGTTGTTCATCGCCTTGCTTCTGCAGTGCTCGGTGGTCATCGACGCCTTCCGCACTGTAGATACTAGGATGCCCAGTAGTACCCTTATTCCCTTTTTGTAGTCCTAGGTTCCTTATACAGCTACCCAAGACCCAAAAAGGGAGCCCTTTTTTATTCCTAGGTTATTGGGCATCCTAGGATATGTCTGAGGGCGGCGAGGCCCGGGGTTTCAGTTCAGACGGGCTTTCGTCTCGCATGACGGTGCGGGAGACAGAGACGCCACTGGTCAGCATCCACTTCCCCATTCCAGTCACGGAGTTGTCAAAAATGCTGGGGGACCGCCTGGAGCCGGATATCTATGATGGCAGGGCCTTCATCCAGGTGCGAGTTTCCGAAGATCGGGGACCCTAATATAGTACCGAAGTAGTAGGATCCTTTCTACAGACCCCCAAATTGAGGTCTAAACCCTAAGCTCTTAGTGTAGATAACCCTTAAAGGAACCATTAAAGGAACCCTAGGACCCCCCCCCCCCCAAAAAAAAAAAGGCAGCCCCTACTTTTCGAAAGAACAGCAGGTCTCCATGTTCTACATCTCGACACTTGAGATGCACACCTTCGTCGGGTTTCTGGGTTTTTGTTAAGGAATGTAGTTGAAGTTACCATAATAGGTATCTAGAAGGGTTCCTTTAAGGGTTTAGGGTTTAAGGTTTCTGGTTCTTGTAATTCAAGTCAAGCTACCATAATAGGGATCTATAATATGAAGGCTCCTTTAATCTATAAGGGCTCCTTCCAGGGTGTACAAGGGTTTAAGATAAAGTTAAGAGGGATCTATAGTGGATATTGTGGCTTCCCTATTCTTGCGACTTTCATTAAATCCTTAAAAAGAACCCAGGTTTGTGCCGAGCCTGATGATGAGCTGGTGCATGCGTATCTCCGCGTACCTTGGGGACCAAATGACCAAACCTTTTTGGGGTCCCTTTTGTCCTTGAGGTATGCTACACTTATACTATGAGCCCTTAAACCTAAACCCTATACCCTGAACCGTTTTGGGCTCCATTTCGTCCTTGAGGTATGTGAAGGACAAGGATTCCGGGGAGAAGGCTGGGCTAAACCGTAAACCCAAGAAGGAAAGCCTTTATAGATCCCTTAAAGGAGCCTTTATAGAACCTTTAAAGGAGTCCTTATAGATCCCTTAATGGAGCCAGAGCCTTTATAGATCCATACTATGGTAACTTAGATTTTAACAAGAAGCCAGAAGGGCTACGTGATCCTCTCGGCAGACTTCGAGAGCTCCTTCTTCGGCAAGATCATGACCAGTGCCTCGGTTTAGAATTTAGAATTTAGAGTTTGGGGTTCAGGATTTAGGGTCTGTGCCCAAGAAACCTACCCCCGGTTTGCAGGGAGTTCGACATAGAAACCACCATATCTGGCCCAAAAAGCCTTCCCCCTTGGTTCAAGGAATTCGACCCTAAAGAAGGTAGGTTTTGTCTGCTACAGGTGGCTGCAAGAGATCTCAGCTGGGAACCATGTGTGGCACTGTGGCGGTGAGCCAGACACACAAAAATTACGGCACCCTGTTCTCTGTGAAGCAGGACCCTTAAAGACGAAATGACCCTCCAAGGGTTTGACGTTAATATACCTCATAGGGGTTCATAGTATTAGGGTACAGGACCCCTACTTTTAAGGGTCGTGGGGTCCTGGAGGACGGGAATGAGATCCTTCACCTCGCTGCCCAGCTGGGCAACGTTTCCAACACTCCCTTCTTCAACTGGGCCAACGAGCGCTACGTGCGCTTCCAACTCAGCCCAGACAAGAAGACCCTGAAGCGCGGCACCCAGCCTAGCAATACCAAGACCTGGGAGGGCAACTATCAAGTGACGCTCGCGAAGGGTGCTATCGACCCGATCTGGTCCAAAGTCTTCCAGACCAAGTTTGCCGGCTACGGTTGGGGCTACCTCGACGACCCCTTGCCTGAACCCTGTAGCCACGGCTGGTGCTTCTTCTCTTCAAAGGCGGCTTTCGTCGATAACGAGGCCACAGTCCTAGCCGTGAATGACACAGGGGCTTGAGACCATACCACCTCAGACCGGGTCATTCGGCCTCCTTGGAAAAGATCAGAGTATCCTTGCATCCATGGTAGAAGCATGAAGAAGCAGGACTTGCACAAGTTCAAGTCATCTCATGTTGACGTTAAGCCAATGCGTAAATCCATTATGCCTGCACTTGCCGCTCTTGTCCTGCTCAAGCATGTAGCGCGCGGCAGCAAGCCGCCCTCAAAGTTGCCGGAGCCTCAGATCTCTCAACCGCATCTGGAAAGCGATGTGTTTTATCCTTACATCAACCTGCCAGAACCTACTTTTTTGTAGGGTCCCCAGAAGTTCCATCCTAGGGTTTTTCTAAGAGCCGACAGTTTGGGCCGGTGAAGGAAAGCTCTATAAACCAACGGTCAGGCCCGTTTTTGCATCTGCCGTCGTTTGGAAAAAAAGCTGCAAAGATCCAGGTTAAGGTAGTGAAAGCCTAAACCCTATAGGGTTTATGGGGCTTATACGGTTTATAGGGTTTATGGGGTTTGAGGTTTAGGAGGCCGGTCTGCTTCGGTTCCAGGCATTTCTGCTTCGGTTCGGAGGGTGGGCCTTCCTGGTGACCGTGCTTCAGGAGCTAAAAAAGGGGTTTCAATAATTACCTATACTATTTTGGGGTCTATAACTATACTATACTGGGCCCCAAAACAACATTCCAATTATCAGAACCTAGCACAGGAAAACGCAGGAAGTCAACAAGGGTCAACGCACAAGCGTGGCCAGAGCTTACTACAGCGCACACCTATAAGCCCTAAGCACTAAACCCTATATGCTGACAGAGTCTTCGTTTTGCAGGTCTGTTTTAGGGTCGAGGGCATCGGTCTGCTGCAGAAACCGCGATCTCACTGTCTGCCGGATCGTGCTTGGCGACAAGGTTTCGATCCTCACCTCTGACGATTTTGCGAGCTGAACCCTAAACCCTCAAACCCTAAACCGTGTAAGCCCCAAACCCCGGAACCCTAGACCCTCTGAGCCCTAACCCCGTCAACAGCTGAAAACAACCCTTTAACGCCAGAAGCCCTAAACCCCTGCGGCCCCTGCGTTCTGAGTCCATCTCAAGACTTCGCCCGGCTCAGGAAGTCGTCGGAGTGGCACCTGGGACTGCGCGACCTCTATGAGGACCATATGACCCTTCAACGTAGGGGCCCTGTATCCCAATACTGTGATTCCCTAGATAGTGTATGAACTAGGCGTCCTTTCGTCTCTAAGGTATGAGGTCGACCGGGTGCTAGTGGGCTTGAGGAGGCCGAAGCCTTCGAACGAAGGGCAGGCTATCCTTGAAAGGAGCTTCCTGCCGTCCAATGTAGGGTTTAGGGTAACAGTTTCAGCAGAAGTCAGCCATATGCAAAACTATGAACGAAGCTTCGACTATCTGCACCGAAGCCATCTTTGGAGTACAGAACTGACAGGGTTTCTTGCGTAGAGCCTCTCGGGAGCGCAAAAGATGTTGGCCTTGAAGTTCTTGGGCTTCGCACTCCTTGCTCGCGTCAGCCGGGCAACGCCGTTGTCGCTGACCATTCTCCACACCAATGATCACCACTCTCACCTGGAGGCCAACCGTGTTGAAATCGAGGCCAGCAAGATTGCCGGGCTTTCAGCGCAGGCTTCCAGCAACGCGATCAACGTCGAGTTGGGCGGCTACCCGCGGATCGTCTCAGGCTACGGGAAGCTGAAGATCGATGCGGAGACGGCAGGGCGCTCAGTGCTGAAGCTCCACGCCGGCGACGCCATCACAGGCACAGCCTACTACTCCATGTTCAAAGGCGAGGCTGATGCGAAGATGATGTCCCTCGTGTGCTTCGATGCCTTCACGCTGGGGAACCACGAGTTCGACGATGGAGACCAGGCCCTTGCCAACTTCATCGACAAGCTCCAGACCGTCAACGCATCCTGTGCCACTCCGGTGGTGGCTGCGAATGTCGTCCCAGCGGCCACGTCGCCGCTTCTTGGCAAGCTTAACAAGTCCGTCGTACTCTCTGTCGCTGGCCAGCAGGTGGGCATAGTCGGTATTGATGTTCGCAACAAGACGCTGCGCTCCTCCTCCCCAAGCGCCGGGACGACCCTCACTGACGAGCGGACCGCCGCCCAGACAGAGATTGACATGCTGCTCGGCCAAGGCATCGACAAGATCGTGCTGGTTACACACATGGGCTACGACAGCGACATGACCCTCATGGCCACCCTCCGCGGAGTGGATGTTGTGATCGGTGGCGACTCCCACAGCCTTCTGGGTGACAACATGACCCGCGAAGTCGATTTCAGCCCCATCCACGGCGAGTATGCTACAATGATGCGCAATGCTGATGGGAAGATGGTCTGTGTTGTCCAGGCTTGGGAATACAACAAGGCGATTGGCGAGCTGGAGGTGGACTTCGACACAAGCGGTGATGTGCTGCGCTGTGGGGGCCAGCCACGCTTCCCCTATGCCTCGCAGATTCAGTCGGGAAGGAGGCGCAGCAGCCAGGCGTTTGTCATCAATTCCTCAGACACCGCCAGTGTGATGAGCTACCTCGATTCGACAGGCCAGTTCATGTTGGTTGAAGAAGACGTGCACACGGCTGCCGAGCTCTCCAGCTACCAGACGCAGGTGGAGGCATTGAAGCAGGAGACGATCGCCTATGCTCCCAACAAAATTTGCTTCGACCGCTGGCCTGGTCAGGGCGCGGGCAGCTGCCCCATCGCAGAGACGCAGGAACAGGGCGGCGGCGCGTGCCAGCTGGTGGCCCAGGGCTTCTTGGAGGTGACGAAGGCCGCCGACGTCGCCATTCAGAATGGCGGAGGTTGTCGCACGGACATCGCAGCTGGCAACTTCAGCCACAACGATGCCTGCACCATGCTACACTCGTGACCTTGGAGCTCACAGGTGCGCAAATCAAAGCTGTCCTGGAGGACGCTGCGGATTTCGGAATCACCGATTCCTCTGGCGCTTTCCCTTATGCTGCTGGCCTGCGCTACGACGTGAACAGAAACGAGACCAAGGGCGACCGCATCACCTTCATCGAGGTCCGGCCGCGGCTCACTGGTGGCTGGATGCCCATGGATAGCGCTGCGACCTATGTGGGATTTCCAAAAACAGGGGGCCCTAATATAATACCTAGACAGGAGGATCCTTATTATAAGGACCTCAAAATAAGGCAAATCCTATTTTCGGAAACTCCCAGGTGGTTGTCACCAACAGCTACATCGCAGGAGGCAGGGACGGCTATACCACCTTCACTGAGGCGTCCGGTAGCCTGAGGAACACTTACATCGAGTATGCCGAGGGCTTCGCCCGCTATTGCAAGGAAGTGGGGACTTTGGTAGAGCCGCCGCGGGAGGACTTCTCTACCCAAGGTTACTGCCCCACTCAGTAACAGTTGAATAGTATTCATAATACAGTACAGGTATCATAGGACCTTATATAATACCCTAAACCCTAATCCCTAAACCCTATATAAACCCCTAAACCCCTAAACCCCTACACCCCTAACCCCCTAAACCCCTGACCCCCTAAACCCCCTAACCCCCTAAACCCCCTAAACCCCCTAAGCTCTGCCCAAGGTTACATCGACGCCGCTGGGCAGGTGAAGGGCCTTGGGGCTCGCAGCACGACGACCACAACGACGGCGACGGAGCTTCCGGGCCAGGAGACCAGCAGCTCTTGGGGCATCTGTGTCATAGTTTGGGCAACAAGTTTTTGAGATTTTTGAAGGTACTTAAGCCCCACAAGGATGGTTGGGTAACACTTTATAGATTTTTTGGGTACTTACACGCAGGAATAGAAGTTAGTTCTTCAACAAGTGTTTGACATGTTTAAAGGTACTTAAGCTCCATAAGGAGCAGACACTATTTCTTTAAAATTTGTCATGTTATTCCCACTATGAACTAGGCATGGTCATTGGAAATCTGCCCCGCATCCTGGAAGCCGCGGTGCTGCTTGGCCTCCTCGGTGCTTGAGGCGTCGAAAACCCTGTCAGGACAGTTTTGTGATTTTTGTTCCTGGACTCTCCACCTACCCTCTATTACAGGACCCCAAACAACCCATTCTTTGGGACCATAGACCCCTCGTTGAGGGTACAGGGAGGGTCCTGGCCCGTCAACCCCAAGTCAGAGGTTGTTCGTCGATGTGTAATGTAGGGGCCTTAGCAATTACCTATACTATTGTGGGGTTCCTTATCATAATTATGGTATAATGGGCTCTCCAAAACCCTATTCTTATCATTAAGGCCCCTGTAGTAGCTTGCGGTGAGTCTCGGATGTTGGGGCTCGGCAGTGCCGGGAGCCGGGTCTCCGGAGGAGCCCCACCAGGCTTTCTGGCTTTCGGAACAGTAGGAGGCCTTCACCACAGCTCGTTGCGGATGTCATACTTTGTAGATAACGGCAATATCATATGTGATGTACAAAGTACAAATTTCAAAGGTTATCGAATCTCAGCCACAGATCCTAGAAGTGTTGCTTATCCTCAAGATGCCGTGGATGAAGCTTGCCGTTGCTGTGCTTGCCTTCCCTGCAAGCACAGGGTCACGAGAAGCAGGGATTTTCCTTCGAAGTTGTGTGGCAGCTCTTCCTCGTTCTGCCGTTGTGGACTTTAGGGTTTACAGGGCCCTCAACCCTACACTCCCTGATAATAGCCCAACACCTATAAAAGGCTATTGCTCTACACCCTAAATCGGGGTGAGGCTTGAAGTAGCTTTCTTCACACGTCCACATCTTCAAACGGAGGTCTGCCGCACAGGAAACTCAAAGTTTTGAATTCGCCAACACCCGCTAGCAGAGCATGGGCAGAGAGCCGGATGGTTGCCCGAGGGACCGAACATCACTACTGGGTGATGAAAGGGCTGCTGCTGTGATCTCTTGAGTCTGTGGATAGGGCCTGGCCCTGAGAATCAGGGCCTCCCATGTCGCAGCCCTCGCTGGATCCTTGCCGGGGTATGCAAGTGCAGGGTTTAAAAAAGGGTTTAGGGATTAGCCCTAAACCCCTAAACCCTAAAGCGGGGTCTGGAAAGTCCACAAGACGTCTGAGATTTACTTGTCATGGGTCGTTGCTTTGTTTGCTCTTGCCTTGTTCCTAGCAATGACCCAGCTTCACCTGCAGCCGAGCAGCTTTTTCCAACCGCTCAAGTTTAGAAAAGGGCCGGAGGCTTTTGTTGAAGTCGCAGTGCTCCGGTGACGTATCCTTGGGAAGGCATCAGAAGCGTGTTGTTCCTGAAGATGAAACCCTGAGCTCGCAAGCCTCAACCCTTAACCCGAACAGAATCTCAGACACCTCGTTTTGTCGGTGGAGAGCGGCGAGCTAGCCCACGAGAGTGTATCTACCAACCAGCGAAGCACTTCGGGGGTGGGTGGGGGAAGGGTGGGGACCTGTGGGCAACCACTAAGCGGCATCAGTGAGCTGATGTTCAGATGCTCATCACCGCTCAGCAAACCCCCAAAATCCCATGTTCGGTGCAAGGACCCGCTCAGACGTGCACGCCGACGCTCCACCCCATGAAAAATGCGAGCTGCAGAGCTGCTGGTGACAGAAAGTTAATTAGGTCCTATATCAATGCATTGCAGAGCGCTTACCGACACCTCCGTTAGCTTTCGCAAGTCATGCACATTCCCGGCTCTCACTCTGCAAGGAATTTCGTCGCCATCTCGGCTTGAAGCTTTTGCCTGCAGCATGCTGAAACAAGCCTTGCGCTAGTGGGCGCCCTGTGGATCCTGGCATGCCGAAGGTATCCGCTGGAGCAATATGGACATCTTGGCTGAAAGTGTCGGATGAGTCGGATGAGTTTGTGGGGTGTGGGGTTCTTGGTGGATTGGGTCCACGGCGGTCTGTCTTCTGCAGTGCTTCGAACAATGCTAGCTTGACCTTAAGTCTTAGGGGCAGTTAGAAATACTTGTTAATGTTTGGTGATTATAACGCCTAAGAAACAGCTAAAATTATACTTTTCGCTAGGGGTCTAAGTTAAGTTCAGTATGGAAGAAGGTCTTTCTGATGCCTGAGTCAGGACGGTGTACCTTGTCGTGCTTATGGACATGGTAAACTTCGGCGACTCGACAAGAAGAGCTGGAATCTTCGGCACATGTATGGAATATGTATGTGGCTGCTGTTGCAAGTGACGGCATCTCTGCCATGCGTCTCGCGTGAGTCAGGTATCGTGTTCCCGCTTTTGCCAGCGATAGCAGAGCATTTCGGTGCTGATGCAACGGCAGCAACTTGGACGATCATTGGTTTCGCACTGTCTGGGGCCACTCTGCAGCGGACAAAGCTGTTTGGGCAACCCATTGGTGACTCGAAACCCCAAGCCATCCTCAACCCTAAAGCCCAGACCGGAAACTAAATCTCGAGAGTTTAGGGTTTGTTTAGGGTTTAGGGCCTCGGAATCTCAACACCCAGGTGGGCAGTTTAGCTACCGCCTTCTCGGTGGCTCAGGCGAGGTTTGCCCGCGACTCACGCAGAAAATCCATGAAGCATGCCTGCGGATGGCAGTAGATGAGCTGAGAGGGACATGCAGTCATGATACTGCATGCTGTAACTGTGCAGCGACGGTATGTTGGAGACAACATGATCTATTGACATGCTGTCCCCATGACAAAGACACCTAAAAAAGGGAGCCCTTATTCGTACCCCCTTTCTTCTAGTAGAATTAAGATTCCGATTATGACCCCTGTTAGCCTAGGGGGGCATTAGCATCAGGGGTCTACGTTAGCCTCAAGAACCCCCACTCCCCCCCCTCTCCGGCAACCCCCCCAAGAAAGCCCTCCTGCATGCCTCCAGGTTGTCTTTACACCCCTCCTCGGGCGCGCCTCCGACAGATATGGACGCCGCCCAGTGCTCTTGATTGCAGTCTTCGGCACGATGATGCTGCTCGACAGGTACTCTTGGGGCCTATGTAAGGCCTCATCCGAATGAACAGTCGGGGTTGTCGTGACTGCTATGCTTTTAGCCTCACGGTTTAGGGTTTCAGGGTTTGGTGCTGCTCGACGGCTACGCTTGGGGCCCGAGGGCCCCATCCGAATGAATGAACACACATAAGAGACACCATTTGGGGTCAGTATATATATATATATATATATATATATATATATATATTGATATTGTGATTCTCTAACACCTCGCAGGGGAGTATACAATGCCTGTGGTAATGGTTAAGGAGGCATGCTGCATGCTAGAGTTTTTCTCGTCTGCTATACTAAGCACAAGTCGTGGTGTGTATGTGAGCCAAACGCTTTCTGCAAAGCTGAGCCTTGCAACTGAGATCTACTGCAATGACGGGCTTTGCATGGAGCTTTCCGATGATCGTGCCTTGTCAGAAGGTCGAGGGTGCTGACAGATTCACTGACCCAGCCTCTCTGCTCTAGTGTTTTCTAGCCCTGAACCCCAAATCTGAATGACCGGGACTATGTGGGAGTTTCCGAAAATTGGGGGTTACCTTATTTGGGGTCCTTATAATAAGGATCCTACTATTCAGGGTACTATATTGGGGTCCCCTTTTTTCGGAAACTCCCATGTATTGAAAGGGGCATTCGTTTCAGATCCTGGTCAATCAAAGCTGCTGCGCTTCGTCGCAAGCTGGAGGTAGCAGCCCGCGCCATCAACGGTGCCAGCGGAGGCCTAGCTTACGGTGACGCTTTTTGGGTTGATGGTTTCGCTTTGGCTGTTGGGTTTAGGCTTTGAGGGAACATAGCAGCACAGACTAATCGGATAATTAGCATTTAACCTTGATATGTTTGAACTTCATATTGCCATAGACTGGCAGCGCAAAAGTATGCAAGCCACTCATGGAGATCGAAGCCAATTCCATACGATGCAGTTTCTCGGTGCAGAGCCCGTGCGACCCTCAATTGATTCTTTTCTCAAGCTGTGTGTTGTGCAAAGCATAA